CAAAGAGGGACCAACTCTTGATTCAACTCATTCGATACTAAACCTTGGTATCAAAAAGTACCTAGGAACGGGCGTCTTGGATATATTAAAAACGGATTTTCTCTTGACCTAACCGGACCCAACTATTCTGGGATGATGTAAACGAAACATATTCATCTTCAAAACGAACTGTTCACCACCGACCTTTATTTTTCAGGTTACACATTATTGGAAACCCTTCTAGAGAGATCGACGTACGTGGCTGGAGAAAAACTGTCTCTGGCAGACTTGAGCATCATCGCCACTATCAGCTCTGCCAACGTACTGGTTCCTATCGCCTCCAATAGGTTCCCCAAAACTACAGAATGGATATCTAAAATGCAGGCGCTTCCCTACTATGAAGAAGCCAACCAAACCGGATTGAACAAGTTCATCGGCATGGTGAAGAGCAAACTGGCCTAGGTTGGCGTGTTTGCTTTGCAATTTTTCCATATTTTGGCTCAAAATTGCAAGGAAATATGCCCCAGAGAATCAAAGAGTTTAGGATGTAAGGGATACTATATTATTTTGAATGTTTTATACTTAATAATGATATTTAGTAGAATGCCTTTGTAATTCCTCTTGTGGGAAAAGCATAATTTATCATCAGCTGGTATGTTGTACCTGTAGTAGTATTATTATCTTAGATAGTGTAGATATAAGATTCTTCATTTTCCTCTGCATTGTTATTTGTGAGTACACTTAAGACCGTCACAACAACACTCTTCATTGTGAATTTTATTCAATAAAGGATATAAGAATATCGCCTGCTTAAAATGAAAGGGGTTTCTTTTTCGGAGAGATCAATTTTTGGAGATGAAGTTTTGGGTGACTCCTCTTCAACTTCATATATGAAAATTTGGGATTTTTCCAAAGGAAAGAAGCAATCAATTTCAATTGCTTCCTTCTTTTTTTTTGGGATATTCCTTCCCAATTGACCAAGTCGAAACTGGCAGCTGGTTGGAACAGCCTGATGACAATACTAATAATAATGATAATGATTGGACTTTGGTTCACTCTTCAATGGCCAAAGAATTTCTTTTTTTGAACACTGGCACTAATTATCAGTTCTTAGGAAAAAACCCTTTGGCTAACTAAATGATTATTTAATTTACTCATGCGATGCACTGTTTGGAACCTTTGTTGTAGTAATGAATATTACTGGAGTTCTTTCCCAACACCAAACCGTTATTTTAACCCCTCGACACGTGTTTCGAACACCAAGTGATCAAGAGGAAGATCAAACTTGATCTTCCTCTTGATCAAACTTGATCTTCCTCTTGAAGATGTTGAGGTGTTACAATAACGATCATCTTCAAGAGGAAGGTCAAGTTTGATATTCCTCTTGATCACCAAACTGTTATTTTAACACCTCAACACATGTTTAGATCACCAAGTGATCAAGAGGAAGATCAAACTTGATCTTTTTCTTGAAGATGTCAAGGTGTGAAAATAACGATCATCTTCAAAAGCAAGGTCAAGTTAGAGTTTCCTCTTGATCACCAAACCGTTATTTTAACACCTCGACACGTGTTTCGATCACCAAGTGATCGAGGTGTTAAAATAACGATCATCTTCAAGAGGAAGATCAAGTTTGATCTTCAAGAGGAAGATCGAACTTGATCTTCCTCTTGAAGATGAAGAAGTTTGATCTTCCTCTTCATCACTTGGTGATCTAAACACGTGCCGAGGTGTTAAAATAACGGTTTGGTGATCAAGAGGGAGATCAAACTTGATCTTCTTCTTGAAGACGTCGAGGTGTGAAAATAACGATCATTTTCAAAAGCAAGGTCAAGTTTGAGTTTCCTTTTGATCACCAAACTGTTATTTTAACACCTCAACACATATTTAGATCACCAAGTGATCAAGAGGAAGATCAAACTTGATCTTCCTCTTAAAGATGTCAAGGTGTGAAAATAACGATCATCTTCAAAAGCAAGGTCAAGTTTGAGTTTCCTCTTGATCACCAAACTGTTATTTTAACACCTCAACACATATTTAGATCACCAAGTGATCAAGAGGAAGATCAAACTTTCCTCTTAAAGATGTCAAGGTGTGAAAATAACAGATCAAGTTTGATCTTCCTCTTGATCACTTGGTGATCGAAACACGTGCCGAGGTGTTAAAATAACGGTTTGGTGATCAAGAGGGAGATCAAACTTGATCTTCTTCTTGAAGATGTCGAGGTGTGAAAATAACGATAATCTTCAAAAGTAAGGTCAAGTTTGAGTTTCCTCTTGATCACCAAACTGTTATTTCAACACCTCAATATGTGTTTCGATCACCAAGTGATCGAGGTGTTAAAATAACGATCATCTTCAAGAGGAAGATCAAGTTTGATCTTCCTCTTGATTACTTGGTGATCGAAACACGTATCGCGGTGTTAAAATAACGGTTTGGTGATCAATAGGGAGATCAAACTTGATCTTCCTCTTGAAGACGATCACTTGGTGATCGAAATACGTGTCGAAGTGTTGAAATAACGGTTTGGTGTTGGGAAGAACTTCAGTAATATTAATTCACACATATTGCTACAACTTCTTCCTGAATACGTTCATGGTCTAGAAAAATGATAACGATATCAAGGATTATTTTTTTTTTGAAAATATCCTGATAATACACCTCAGATATGTAGGCCATGTAGACATTCATTTGTTATCTACTTTGTAAATACTGTTACATGTTATAGGTATGTCATTAAGTAGAATGACGTTATTCTTATCATAAGCTTCAAAGTGATGTGACAATTGAGAGATTTCGGTTTTATTGTGGTTGATGCTATCTTCACTGTTATAGACAAAGGAAAAGCAAGCAGAATATTCGTAACAATATAGAAAACGTTTTATATACTATCCACATTGACGATGAAAAATAGATTTGAGATTAGTATTCTGAAGGATTCTTGAAGAAAAAAGTATTATACTATACATCACATTTTATTATCTTATAAGTAGGATGATTCTGCTAAGTTTGAAGTTCAATGAGTTTTATCATCAGTTCGAATCCATGCAATAATTCAAGAGGGTCATAAAATTATCGAATGCAGAAAATAAGCTGAATCTGAAGTAGAAAAACATAATAATGACATCAGTTATATGGTTGCGATCATTAAATAAAAAATGATATGGCAATAAATATGTTTTTTTTTGAATTTGGCTTTCGCAATGACGTTCTGAAAGAAAATTTCAAGAAATGAGACTTGTTTTGTTACCAATATTAACCCGGAATGGTGAGTTTGAATAAACATGCAAAACACGAGTATTCATCGACATTTTCTGCCGGCACGTTAAATGTTTGTTTCCAAATGAAAATTATTTTTGAACCCCCCGTACAATCGAAGTTGATGGCCGACCGGATGCCACTGTTGAATTGGTATCAATGCCTACATAATTCAAAAACTGAAGTGAGATCGAATTAAATACAATAAAATTTCTCAGACAATACAAACGTTTTTTTTTGACTAAAAAACGACATTTAGTAAGAAAAAACTCAGAGGAACTTTTATATCCCAAATTGAAATAGAAGTTAAAAAATGGATTTTATTTGGGAAAAATCCATAGGCGTACAATTTTTTCTTAAAAAATATCGTAATATCGAAAAATATCGACCCTTATGCATAGGGTCTCAAAGACAAATAGTAGAAACTCAACTTTTTTAATTTTTTTAAATTTTCGTACACTCTACAGACAATCTGTTTTTCTTCTAACATAAACTTCCGCTTTCTCTGTACATTACTTGGACCTGCTACGGCATCCATCTTTACACTATAATATTAGTCATATTATTCAGCTATTTGTCAGTTGTTTTCTTACCTCAAAAACTATTTTAAAGTTCATGTATTTTGAAAAACACTAAACCATCCGCTTGTGTTAGTGGTGTTATTTTGTAAAGTTGGGTTTTTGGCACTGGAATTTTTGCATCACTGCCGGTAGGCGAGATTTTTGAAAGCTACAGCTTGCCTGCAATCTTTGTTGAACCAAGGTTTGCGGTTAGAAGGTCGTTTCATTGAAAAAGGAATATATGCATCCATGGATGATAGAATAACTTCCGTGACTTCGAAAGCACAAGCACAAAAGCATATCTAGCCAGGGGTTGTTTCGGAAATGGTCTTGAAGATCCACCCACTCAGCAGATCTGTAATGCCGAACGTTGCGCGGCTTAGACTGTTCCCCAACATTTATTTCAAAGGGTTCCAAAAACTCAATTTTTTTCTCAAACCGTCAACACTTCGTATTTTCACAATGGAACATTTTTGGACTATAGTTTATACAGTACCATAATTTTTTAATACAGATTTACACATTTCCATGTTTGCATCGAGGAACACCCTGTATAAATGAAATACAGTCGATAATCATTATTAAATTCTCCAAACAATTACTGCGTAAGCACCTAAAAAAAAAACAAAAGTGATAAGGCGACGGTTAACAATCGCAGACTCTGAACTCATTTCGTCGAAAAAAAGATAAGGAATTATTGAATTATTCGTGATAGCAGCCGAAAACGATGTCATTAGATCAGTTCACGCCAAAATGCCGCTCACTCTGCATGGATACAACCTGAGCCCCCCAGTGAGAGCCACCCTTCTCACCTTAAAAGCTTTGGGGCTGGAATACAACCACATACCGGTGAGTGACATAATTTTTGAATGATAATGATCCAAAAAAGTTGGTCTTTTTATTGGTGCCCGAGGAACAATTTCAATTTTTTTCATTTTGCCAAACAGTTCTAAATTTCAATGTAAACTGTAAAATGTATCGGTCTTAAAACCTTTTTGTTGCCTTCCGGGGATTTTGCAGTCAACACCTTTGTCATTCAGTGTTTGTTTTACAAAAGCGAGCGAGTAGATACTTATGCAAGGTGGGAGTGTGTGAGTCATGCAGACCATTATTTTTGAGAGAAAAATTATCACTGTTACTTGTATTTTCATACTTGAAACTGTTTGCTTGATTTACAAAAAAACATAATATGGTTGGAACTCCGGAACATATAAATTACATAACCCGGCAAATAACAGAAAATAAAATACATCTTCCTGCTCCAAAAACAAGCCAGACAAAGTATTCTTCAATTTATGAAAGTATAAAGCTGTATAATCACATACCTTAGGAAATTAGGAAGGAAAAATGCTATAAAAAGTTCAGAAATCTTGTTAAAGATGCCCTTGCATCTAAA